CTTTTCACAATAGCTCAGCCGTGAACAATGCTAAGATTGCGGTGTGTTTTGTCCGATGTTCCGTCTATTTTCTCAGTCCTCCACAGAGAACGGAAACTTGTAGAATTCAATTCGTACCGGCCACAGTCGTAATACAGTGGTAATCACCGATATCACCCAAGCGACTGGTATTACCTCATTCTCCCCTGTATATTTTCGCTTATATATGAAAATACAAGTCGTGAACTGATACTAATTTTTTTCCCGTGCACAGCCGATAAAATGGAAAAGCGGCCGACGTGGAGGGGATGGGGGGATATAAAGTCCTACGAAGACCAATCTTCGGACGATCCTCGCGGAGAGTCGTGCAGCGGGATAACGTGAAAATCGCGCGTTACTCGAGAACGTCGAGCGCCGTTCGATATCGCGAATTTTACATTCCAATCACCGAGCGAATCCGACAAATCCGAGCGGTCCCCCTGCTCGACAAATCCCGTAGGATGCTCATAGCGTCCCATCGACGACTCAGCCGAGGCCGTGCGCGCGGAGAGAGCGGCTGCTTTCAAAATAAAAATATACAAAACCCATCAGAGACGAGGGATGCGCTCGACGAAATCTCGCGGAATAGAACGCGCCTGTGCGTATGTTTGCTGATCCGGAGCACTCGAGCATGGCCATGAGAAGAGAGAGGGAGATAGAGAGAGAAAGAGAGAGAGAGAGGGAGAGAGGAGAACGGGAGAGAGCCCGGCGCGACAAAAGGTACGACAGCTTAAGCCGCGAGGTCGGAGCCTCAGGAAGGAATCTATGTCTCCGGACACAAATAGTTGTGACAGATGCCGGGTTATGTAAACAGGCCTCGATGATACCGAGTATTGTGTCACCGCGATCCGGCCCGGGGAAGGATATACTTGGTCGACCATTTAAGCGACTACAATAGCCGGGATTTGCGAAATAAGCGGGAGCATAAGCGCGTCTCCTCGTCGAGCTCGATTGTCGCCTCGCGGCATCTCTACCGGTTCTCTCGTAACTGTCGTAACTGCGGCGCACATATAGACAACCACGCCGAATCGATAATTATTTGTAGAATATATAATGAACGCAAAACAACTGAGAGAAAGAGAGAGAGAGAGAGAGAGAATTTGCAAAAGAATAGAGTTTTCTCTGGAGCCTCGAGAATCGTGTATAGCCGAAGTATATGGAAAGAAAAATTTTGCCAGAACAGTAAATTGTTTGTTAATATAGTGACAGCAAAATTAATTTGTTTGGACAGCAGAAAGACTTGTTAAAAGTATTAATTGCTATTTGTTGTATATATGGACAGCAAAATAATTTGGTTATACCAATTAAATTTGATTGCTGTCTCAATGACGTTTTGCTACAACAGCAAAATTATTTTTTCCGTGTAACAAATTCTTTTGCTGTCACTATGTTAACAAACAATTTGCTGTTCCAGCGAAACTTGTTTTTCCCGTGTACTCGATCCTTTCGGCGAGAAACTATAGGAAAACCAACATTTCTGAAATTTTCTAGACACGTGAAGATATTTAAAGATGTTTAAAGATATTTAAAGAATTTTTGAAGATAGAAGATGTTTTAAGATATTTAAAGATATTATCATTTAATCATTTAATTTTTCAGTTTATTTGTATTAATCGTTATTTTCAGGATTGGATAATAAGTACTTAATAAATCGGGAGCATGAGTTACATTACATCCATGTTATAATTTCTCATTCACCCATGTAAATGCAATATGTTCATAATGTATTAATTATATAATGTAATAATTTCATTTACATGGTTGAGTGAGAAATTACAACATAGATGTAACGTAGCTCATGCTATGGGTTTACTGGGTAGTTATTCAGTTAAAAGTTAAATTCACAAGTTAATAACTTCAACTTAAGCTAGTTAATTTTAAAAGTGAATGGACTTTAACTTATTATAACTTTTTTTATATAAGTTAAAATAATTCACTGATATTAAAATCATTACAGGCTCCTTACATTAAAAAATAAGAAAAATAACACAATAATGCCAACAGGATTTTTATCTTTTCGAGCGCTAATGTTCTTTTCTTGTATGGAATCCTAAGTACAAAATAGACGGTATTTTCTTTTAATAGACTGCTTTTTCTTTATTTAGCATAAATTTAATTTACGATTAAAAAGTTAACTATGTAAAGAAGTATATATATATGTACATAACTTTGCATAATTAACTTTTAACTTTAATAAGTTAATTCAGTGTTAACTTAATTTTTAATTAAGTCAGTTCTTGTTCAGGTAACTTTTAACTAAGTTCATTTTATATGTCACTAACTTTCAATTTCACTTAGTTGAAAATAAAATGTAACTCACCTAACCTTGATTTTTTTTTTAAATGGCCTTGAAAAAAATGTAGATACTTCCGTAGAATACTAGATTAATTAATTTTGAAAGGGAAATTTCGTGTACGAGAGAGCGGAAGCGAAGTAAAGAAACTAATTCAATTCCTCGAACACATGATCGATCGACTCGCGAGTGTACTCGTGAAAGCCGCGCCATGTATAATTCTAACTCCGAATTTCAACGGGCCGTGTAATCTCCAAGGCTGTCCCAACTGTCTACTTCGAAACATCCACCCCAGCCCGTGGGCTTCACTTTCGCCTTCCAGAGACACTTCCATTCGAGTCTACGCATACTCGAACGTGCGTGCAGGTCTTCAATCCTCTTCCATCTTTCGTCTCTTCCGCCCGAACGATTTAGAGTCGCGACGCTCACGGTGGAGTGGCTTCGTGTGACAATCGCTATCGACTCGCTCGATCTCTCCCGAATATTTCAGCCGCAGCCTTCACCGTCGGCTGTACCGAACACAGCGAGGAGATTTCAGCCGTTTTACTACAGCAGTCTCCGACTCTGCTCTCGCGCTTCGCTGACACGGTTCCGTCTTCGCGACCCTCTTCCTCGCTTATGCTCAGTATTTACCGATATTTAGATAAAATTATCTAAATAATCATCCAGATGAATAAATAAGTCATCTTTATTTTTATCTAGATGGAAGAAATATAAAATATATTTATCTTCATCTTAGATAAAAAAGAAAACATGTTATCTCATCTAAAAATAATCTGAAATGATGTTATAGTCCATATTCTGAACTTACTTTTCGATAAAATGAATGAAATAATGTGGACCTATGCATTAAGTCCGTATCAGATTAAGGGTTGATCAGACTGGAGATTAGATTTCAACGAATCAACAAATTTCGGCTTTTTTTCCTTTGGTCTATTCTTTTTAGCTGCTCTGCTGAACTGCAACTAAAAAGAACAGACGATTTATTTCAATTGGTCAATCCACTTTAAACCCATATCAAACTGTCAACTGTGAAGGACGAGCCGATTGTCGATCACGACTGCCAACTCTTAATGATCCAATTACAATAGACTAGTTACATGACGCTTCACTATGATAGGTCCTTCAAGAGTCAAGATTCAAGAGATAGTCGTAACCGTCAGTCAGATCGACCCTCACAGTCAGTAGATAGCTTGATATGGGCTTTGTAGAAGAAGACCGAAATAATGATTGCGTTCAGAAATCACAGCGATTAGTGAGCAGTCGATGATTATTGGTATTTTTTGTTAGATCCTTAAATTTAGAACGATTACATTGACGAATTACTTAACCGTTGTGCAATTTTATGATCTGCGTAATCTTTACTATAAATTTTTATAAAGTCTCTCATGAAAACAATACCATCTAAAAAATTACCTAAATAAATAGCGCGAATGATCTTATCTTTCATCTAGATAAATTAAAAATAAAATCATCATCATCCCATCTTAAACGAATTTTTCGGATTTTCATTTCATCTTCTTCTAGACGAATCTGAAATCATCTAAGGCAAATACCGCTTATATCCGCGAATTCACGGCGCGTCATCGCCGCTCGCTGTTTGTTATTCCACGCTCCTCGTTCGACTGTATTCTTGTTTATGACGATGAAAAACATTCCACGACTTGCGATCGACCGTTGGACGAGAATTAGAGCGATTTTCTGTCGCAAGTTGCGCGCGTTTTGGTTTCACCCTCAACTGAAATCTCGACTGCTGTCATACATCGGGACTTCCCTTTTGTGGATAACTGCAAGTTCGTCATATCGAAGAAAAAGAAAACACACAATACACTTCAATTTTAACCATCTGTAATATTGTAAACTTGATATGGGGGATTTAAGTTGGGGCGCGAAGAGTTCAACGGTCGATTGTGAGCCGGATGGGAGGAGAATGACTGCTTTAACGAGCGGTTCGACTCTCGGTAGTTTAAACGGGATTTCGGAAGGGTTGGCCTTTCAAATTTAAATCGGATTTATGATCCTACGAATACGGATTTAGGCAAGAGACGAGCGAGACGTAACTCGCCCCGATGCCTGATCAAAGACGCTCGCGACGGGGCCCGACATCATCGTGCAGACCTCCCGCTGGCTTGCGCGGGTCAGTGCGGCCCATTATTAAGAAATTAGTGCGGCTTTCAGTGCGGATCCTCCAGTGTTCGATGGCTCGGGATTTTCATGTTGCACGGGTTCGTCCACAGCGAGGAATTGGTCAAAGGACTAATCAAAGATTGAATGACCCAATATACTGAGTATTTTCTACTGATTATTCCTGGCTTAATTCGAGTTTGATTGACTGAATATATATAATCTGAGTGCCGGTTAATGAAATATGATATCAGCAGTATGCCGAATATAGCATTTTTTTCTGTGCTAAACAACAATGCACAAATATTCATTTTATGATTTAAGTGCTAGTAAAAATATTAGGTAAGGAAATTTAAAGAGATTATTTAACTGTTATTTTTACATTCGGTAATTTTTACACTCTGAATGAAACGTAATGTAACTGCAACAATATATATATTTAACATAAATATTCGCAAATACATTCATAAACTGAATCTGTCTTGTATCGTTAACAATAATGCTATTAAAGAGGTAACAAAGTCATATATGGGTGCTGTTACTAGCTCGGGATCGCATCGCTCGATTAATTTAGATTCTTGAATATAGCCAAATACGTGTTACGATATGATACGTTTTCTGTCTCAAAGTCTCTGTACGGTCTATAAGAAAAAAACTTATTCTTGACGTTGAGAAAAGAATTTACAGATTTATTCAGGACTTCTCGCATCTTAATCATGTCCTTTAGCAATTTTGTTTCCGTTTTAGCGGTTAAAAGAAATGGACAGTTTCGAGCCTGAATTGCTATTATGGACTCCGACCATGTCACCCCGACATGAACCTCTGCTTGAAATCCCACGATTAAAGTGGGTGGCTTGTAACTAGTACTGGAAACATAATGGTGATAAAGTAGAGGGAAGGATTCAAGAATAAGCTTCTTCCTAGCTATCTTGCAACGGGAACAAACTTTGTGTTCGTTAAATTCAGTTTGTAATTCGGGTCCTATCATTACGATTATCAGTTTGCTATTTTTATTCAAGAGATGTAAGAAAAGCTCCCAAGCTGGAAAATTGTGCCTGTTCACGTAGTTCGCGGCTATAACGTGAACCGTGAAGATACCCATCGTCTCCTCAAGACGAAACCAATTTGCAGACTTCAACCCATTATGCACAGTCAACGGATCTGACACGTAATCCGTAAAGATGTGATCATAAAGGCACCAGTAAAGATCTCCTTTTTGAGGTCGGAAATATTGATTACAAAATGTACCCATGTTGGTGACACGTTTCTTCTTACTGGGAAATGTGGTGAATTTGACTTGCAGTGTTTGCCACGTTTTTTGCTCGATAGCTGCAATATCTAATTTGAGAGTCAACGTCAACAATTCGCACATGGTCGGATGGTGTAAAAGTGCCAATTCCGCGTGATCAACACAATAACTGAACGAAATGCATCTTTCACACGTATACAAATTGCCCCGTTGGTGGCATATGAAACACGATTTCGCAAACACGAACATCTGTTTTTCGTACGGCATCAGCTCACGTGTCAATGTCATCCGTATTATCTCCGCGAAAGTTTTCTGTATTTCGATCCACTCGTGGAAGAATAAACGGCGAGTGTTCCAATCCGGATCCTCGTCTAGGACACTTGATATGAGTACACAGATATCTTCGTGGTGTGATTGGTGCAATATTTTGTGTTCCTCGGTACAGTAAGAGATCATGTAACACCGATTGCACGACAGCAAATTGTTCTGGTCTGTTGATTTGCAAACGTGACAAACGTTCGGATGGAAAAATTGATTATAGTCAAAATTCGCCAGATGTCTATTCCCTTCGTAGATTACAGCCATGTCTACACGTCTGTATACGACAGACGCATATGGATACTTTATTCGTAATATTTATTTCAGAAATATTACGTGAAACTCGGTATTTCGGCGAAAATTGACATATTTGATACCAGCGATAAATGTCGATTCGGCCGTTGTACAGAGGACACTGATAAAGTGTTTATCAATGTTTCCGCATGTCTCGGGAATTCTTGATAGAGAGAGAGAGAGAGAGAGAAAGAGAGAGAGAGAGAGAGATTGTTCAATTTGTACCCAAAGATACGACGAAATATGAATTTATCAGTTATTACAAAATTCAAATATCGTGAATAAAATTCCGACGTACTACGGGAGGCACATGGCGTCACATCGCACGTAACACCAAAAAACGACATAATTCGAGAAATTTAGTTATTCAGAGCAGAAAAAAGCGATAGATCTCGTTAAAATCAATAGTGGGCATTTATTATAGATTAGGACAATATTATTTCTGTTTTTGTTGATATACATAATCATATATATAACATGTGTGAGAAATGCTTGCGCATCTTCTTATGATATTAACTCAAACCGGTTTTAACCTTCCGAATGACGGTGTGCTTTAACCCTTTGGTAACCAATTCGCTTTCTTTTCCCTTGGATAACTTTGATTTTGGACAATTTGTACTTATTGGCGATCTGTAAGTGAGTTCTTATCGTATAGAATATCTCCAGAAAATGGGCCGCATATATCCCATAGGAGCCCAAAGGCTAAAAGCTAAGCAATCGCTGTGTATCCGTCGTATGCCAGTCGATGTAAAAAATAATTTCTCGAGAAATCGAGAAGCTTTGAAGAGATCAGAACGTATAATAAAATCATACTTCCTGCTTGCTAGAAACGCATGAAAAAGAATACGAACGCAAGTATTCATCGCATTAGTTGATGGACTCTTACTTGCGTCAAGAGTACAAGCGGAAGGGATCGTTTCCCGAAATCGTTCACCGTACTACGTCGACGTCGCGCAGCATTCACGGGACGCTTAATCAGCCCCGGGCAGCGAACCACCCGCGGGCCCTTCCCGGATGTAATGACTGGCGCTCGGGTGGCATCCGAAAATTAGTGTGCTTTTCGTATGGCGCGATATCCCGTACGCGTTCTCCAATCTGCTCGGGTTAAAGGGCCGCGGCGAGAGTCGCCGCGGGCGGTACGCGCGGTAATGTATCCTTTTACGTGCCGGCGCGACCACGTGCTCTCGAAGAGCGGGAATGCTATTGTGGACCGGACTCGCCCACTCTCTCCTTCTCTCTGCCTCTTTATCCGGCCACAATGGACGATTCACGTAACACCGGTATTCGTAGTCAAACGCATCGCGGCGAGCATCGCGGTTTACCGCGGTTTCTCCGTGCATTCGCGAGTCACGATGCATCCGCGTATATAACCTACGGAAGCCTCCGCCGTCTTCCTTCCCTTTCCAGCCCTTCGCAGCCCGTTCTGCCCTTTTGCTGTTCCAGCACCTGCGAGAATTTGCACGGTAGGTGGCTTCTACACGGCCGCGTGTATCGTATACAGGCGCGCGCGCGCCGACACTCGCCGCATATATCGCGACACCCTGACGACTGCATCTCGCAGTTGTATACATCAGGTTGGTCCGGAGGGGACGAGGGTCTAGTTCAGGCCGGTTCAGGTACCTACATGCATATTACAACGTCGCGCTCGCGCGGGCGACTGGCCGACCGTGCCGGGGCGGATGCAACGCATCGGGTGTCGTGATTTATCTCGGCGCTCGAACGCCCGCCGAAATGACGCTCTCTCCTCGGTTTGTGTGTAGTATTTGAAGGAAAAAGAGAAAAAAAGAGAAACGCCGGTCATCGTCGCGAGCCCGTTTTTTTGTTTCTCTCGTTTTATGAATAATGGATGACGACAACGGCGGCGGACCGCGAGCGCGCGATCTTCTTTGTGTGTTAATACGACTGTAATTCAGCGCGGCGGCATGCCGATGAGCGTTCGGCGTGTTTCTGATATTCGCGATGTGTTCGCTCTCGCAGCAGAGAGATTTCGGGGAGATTGAAATCTGAAATGCCAGCTAGCTGCGGTCGTTCCTAACGGGGAAAAGTAATTCTGTTGCCGCAGCAAAACCGGGCATCGTTGCTGCTGTATATTCGTTGTAATGGCAATTGAATTCAGTTGACGTAACTGAATTAACGAATTATTCGTAATTAGAAACATTCTTGTTGCCGGTATGGAAAATGTTTTGCTGAATTTATTCTTAGATTACGTTAATTTGCTTTTAGCAAAATAATGTTTGCCGATATTTACTAATTGGTTCTTACGAACGAAATGACTTGTAGATTCAGCAAAATAATCCAGCGAATGGCAATTCGTATTCTCAACAAATCGTTTTGCTGCTCATAATTGACAGATTTTATTGCGACGTCATAAAATTTGCTGTGCAAAGCAAATTATTTTTCCGGGCTTCTAAACGCCTTTTACAGCACAGTAATGAACAGTAGTTTATAGAAAATTAATTTTGAAGATTTCCTACGGAATTGGAAAAATAATATCTGGAAAATTTTCGAAAAATTAACCACAATCTAATTTATCTTGAAATATTCTCCCAAAATTAATTAATATAATAATAACCAATACTTTGCAATTCCGTTTTTTTAACTTTAATTTTGTATAATTCTTCTGCAATTTGTAATTCCTCTTTTCTTTAATAAGTTTGAAGCTGAATGTATTTTAGTTATTTAATTATTTTAATTGTTTCATTTGGGAGAGGATTGTTAAAACCTTGATATAATATTACAATAATGTTTGACATTTTTATATTGCGTAAAATTTCCCAGGTTATCTTTCCGGTTATCTATTTTCCGATAGATTTTTATGCATGAGTTCTATCGTGTCTTCAACTGCAAAAAGGAGACTTCGTGAAATTCGTCTCTGATTTTATTTTTCCTCCATTATTTTATATTATTGGTATAAACAATAATATTTTGACTTCTGGCTTTTGGCAAAAGACTCTTGAAAAGTTACTTATAAGAGAATATAAAAAAATCGAATTTTTGATCTCTATAAATGTCTTGATACCTAATGATACTTGATGATTTAACTTATTCAGGAAGAAATTATCCCGAAATATATGATAGATATTGTTGTGGTAATAATAAAAATAAAAGAATATTATAATTGCATTAATATCAAGCAAGATATAAATTTGCGAATGTCACAATGTTGCAACTTTACTAATGAAAACACGTGCGTGTGTTATTTAAAAAATCAACAATAAAAAGGGCAAATATTAAAACAATAAAATCAATAGAAAGTGATCAATATGTTAAATAAATTATCTCTGTAATATTGAGGGAATATTGAGATTTTTTGTAATTAAAAACTGTTAGTACTGTGTTCCCATTATTAATAAAATACGATTGTTATTTTGCATGAACAGGAAAAATAATTATTCCGCGCGTGTGTGTGTGTGTGTGTGTGCAAATTATTGTATACTTTATACATTACTCTCTTCCCTTTCCTGTATAAAAAAAATTGCAATAAATTAGTTTCCACTGAATTTTTTATTGAAACCCAGGGACCCGGACCGAATTAGAACCAGAACCGAAAACCATATGAAAACCAGAATTTTTGTCGGACCGGAACCGTAAACTGTACTGAAATTTTATAGACTACCGGAACCGGAACCGAAATCGGAACCTTTATTTAATATTTTAGTAGACCGGAACCGGACCGATATTTTCATTCGATCCGGGTTCCTGTAACCTTTAAAACAGCATACATAATCGAGATGGGTTTTAAAATTACAAAATTTCCTTTTTCTTCGCCCTTGTATGTGAAATTTACATTTTTCAAAAATGCGACGTAAATATTATATAATTTTATATATACGAAAAAATAAGCATGCGGATTTAACTCAGATTTTCTCGGTCGTAGGGCCGCTTTATGTTACCTCGACGGATATTTTTCGTAAATTTTGCAATATCACGAGCATCTCGACTGGTTCTCGCAGACGCTTCGGCATTTTCGACTAGCTGCCATTCCGATGGCAACGAAGGTGGGCGGACTTTCGTCGAGTAAATCCGTCGACAGAGCGGTTGTATATAGTTTCGATGCGCATTGCAAGGATAACAATGGGTTAAGGCGGGAGCGTTCTGTTTGCTCAGCGGTATTAATTAAAATTGGAGCTTCAAGATCTTCCGGTTTTCGAGGCATTTCTTCGCCCTGAGGAAGCGGTCTGCTCTCTCAGATTCACGTCGTACAAACATGCGGACTCTTTGTCCTTTCTCTCTCTCTCTCTCTCTCTCTGTCGACACTAGAAACAAAGGATTATGAGTAGGACTGTGTTATTCTTCCGCTATGCGGGTTCATTGCGCGCGGACGTTTTAATTGAAATCCGAGTTATTTTCATTTTCCGCGAAACCGATGTCACGTCGCCCCGCGTCGCGCCTCACCTCTCTGTGTGTACCTTGCATCGGATTTAATATTAATTGTCGCTTCGATCGCTCATGATAAAGCGATCGTTACTCTGTCAGTTTTAACAAGTGTGCGCGATAATCGGAGCTCGAACATCTTGTGGAGCAGCGCAATGTTAACGGCCATTCTCGTTATTTTAGGATCCAAACTCGACAAGGTCGTGTCGGGACATCCTGTATTATAAACAGAGTACACACAGAGAATGTTTCTCGAAGACGTAGGCATTCATGAAACGGAAAAGCATCGTAATAGTTTTGTTCAACTAGGGATATAGAGGAAAAATACCAAAATCGCTGTTATTAACAAAATATAGTATATATAATCGATTGCTCTATGATTTATTATTATTTAGGGACATTGCAAATACAGATTTACTCGTTGGTTTTTGAATAAAATGAAGGGAAACTAAAAAAAAAAATTTAAGAAACGGAACAAACACATCAAATGTTTGATTGTGACAGTATTTCTAATAAATAAAGATCTGAATTTAAGAAAACGCTGTTTTACTGCTTTTTTCGGATGGAATAAGATATCTAAAGTTTTGTAAAGAATAATT